AAAAAATCTTACAAAGAATTAACACACTACAGTAGTTTTTTAAACCAATCCTATTTCTTTGTGAGCCAGTCTTTGCCTTGTAGTAAATGAGGCCAATATTTTGATGAGCTGAAACCAACAAGAAATAAGTATCTGAACTGAATTGTCATTCAAGTGCTTATTGAAATACAGACTTAGCAAGTACAGGAGTAATTCTTATCAATTTACCTACAGAAAGTGATCTAAATACATGGTGATAGAAGCAATTTTGCAACACATTCTTCCCTTATTGAATTTAATGCATAAAAATTTCAACTTTCGTGTATGTAAAACTCAGCATTGCATTTTCACTTTTGAATAGCAGTGTTTTTATTTCTTCATTTAAGTCCCCGTGGATCTTTCTTTCATAAAAGATGTGGTTTTACAATACAGGGAATTTGAAGACTGAAGAGAAATGCTTCAGTTGTGCCTGAACTGAAGAGATAGGATGATTGTATATGAAAAGTCACCACACACGTCTCTAGAGTGCTATCAGCTCTAGATTAAGACACAGAATTCAAGTTTTTGAGCCATCCTGTGGAGATGGAATGAAATTGGTTCCAAAATGACAACAGTTTATCACAGTGTATCACAAACCAAAATTAAGACAGCAGTGAGAAGAATGAAACTATTTTTCTGGTCCTTTTTATACAGAGACCACAGACCAGATTTTCATAGGTGTGCAGCTATTAGGGTTGAGATCCAGTTCCTCCAGATCCCTCATCTAAATTGTTAAATCTATTTCACCCTTGTGAGTGATCCAGTCACTCTGCTTTCCAGGATTTTCTACCCTAAAAGAGCCAAAATTCATTAGGCAACTCCCTTTTTGGCCTGTAATTTTCCTGGGCACCCACCGTCACTTGTTCATACAGGCTCAGCAGACCCTATGGAAATGCATCTATTTCTTCAGCCACTGGAATCAGGGTTCTACTTCCATCTAAAAACCAGCTGAAGCCTGTGTTTCATGAGCTGTATGGCTGGACTTGACAAGGGGCATTCCTGTCCTTTCTCTTCTCCCTCAGCTCTGAACTCCTCTTGTCAGACAAATCCATGTCTCCTGCCCAGGACTGGAAGAGCAAGGCTGTACTCACTTCTTCAATACCCCTCTTCTTAGGAGAGAGGTAACTTCTTTTCCTTTCATCTGTGCCCATCCCTTCTTTTACCCATGCATCGACGCACTAGAGTGCCCATGATTCAGAATAAGCCATTGGAGTGGACTTGAGAGTGACTTGGTACTTAGAGATAGAGGAGAATTTGACATCTTCCCAAGCATTCCACAGCATTGCATTTATTTCATCAGCAAGTTTATTTTGAACCTGACAACACACTAATTTCTAATTTCAAAACAATGAAATGTCCCTAAGGTAATTCTGAATGTACAGTAAATGCATTTAAGTAGTGTGATCATGTGAGAAAGAAGGAACAGGTATGGAAGGCTGCACTTTTTCAAGGAAACTGGACTTGCAAAAGAAAGAACTTATTTGCCTTGTAGTCTGTGGTGTTCGGGCAGGGATGAAGAAGGTAAATCTAGAATGCTGTTGGACATCTTTCTAGTGGAAACAGCTATTGATGAGGAAGTGGAAGTAAAATTTCACAGCTTAGCAGTTTGCATTTAACAGACAGAACACAGAAGTAGTACTGTTATGCAGCGATGTCAGAAGCAGAGAAAACACTCAAATCTAAATCAGGTGGTGATTTTTTTAAGCAGTTTTTCCAAGTGTTAGCAAATACTTTTGTGTCCCGAGAGGAAATGCTGAGACTGCAAAATCTATTACATAAGGCCATTTTCACATGGCTGTATGGCTGTATGCATTTGGAAGTATGTTTGTGAACAGAGAAGGAGCATTAAAACAGGAGATGGTAGTTTTAGGCACTGAGATCACTTGTTCCATCACAAATGCTACTGGTATATGGCTTCTAGCTCTTCTCTGGAGATCTTAAAATGATAAAGGGGTTTTCTGCATTGAAGCATGGTATTACCTCAGGGGAAGCTGTTAAATGAATCTAAAGCAGTAATAGAGTTATTTTACCTAAAATTAAGTATCCCAGAAGATCCATCCCCTTTGGGATATAAACAGAACTGCTCAGTCAGAACACTGTCAAGTTTGATTGCATGCACTGACTCTATACCGAGCAAAGAAAATCTCAGCACAGCCTGAAGGAAGATTATAATGACACAATACTATACATTATACATATTATCAAAAGTTGAATGTTCAGTAATCACCAATACAAAGAGGCTGAAAATCAAATCCTGATCTGCTTACCTGGGGCAGGACTGAAAGCATGCTTGCTCAGCAACATGGACGAAATGGAGCCACACTTTGAACTCAAGGAGTAACGAGGGAGACCTGAATGTCTGCAAGTGTTTGGCTGACCTTTCTGCATGGTTAATATTGCACAGAGTTTTTTAGGCTGTCTGCTAGGAAAAAAAAAAAATTGGCTCAAAGCAGTTGGTAATTGTATTGTTGTCCTAAGACAAGAAAACAAGCTTTCTAAGAATAAAACCAAAAACAACACATGGAACTAGAGGCCACACCGCACATTTTCTGTTATTTACCCTCCCCCCCCCCACACACACACAGACA